AGGCTAAGCAATGAGCACCTGCATGTGCGTATGAGAATGGCCCTGACACCATTTCAGCCCAGATTTAAACTCCTGGCACGACAAACTCCAGCTCAATTATCGCACTGAATAAAACAAAGTGAGTGAGGGACTGCAATATAAGAGGGAAAGAAAGAAACTTTTAAACTTAATTTTTTTTAAATTTATTTTCTCTATTTTATTTTTAAATGCAGCCCGAGAGGAACATTACACATATCCACAGTATTTACTGTATATCTGTAGAGTTCAATGTTAATTGACAATAAATATTGTTGTTTTTGAATTGTTCTTTCTTTATTTGATTGGCAGTCAGTTGTTGATTACATGCAGACGTTGATAAAGCTACAGGCTACTTCAATACATATCACACTAATTCATAAAGCAAGTTAGACATTTTGATGTTCCGGACCTTTGCATGGGGAGATTTTCTCTAACTGGACCTCGTTGAATTTTAGTTGAATACCCCTGCCCTATACCATGAGATCTGAGTAGAGTTTGTGTCACAACCTCTGCATGTTTGACTCATTTATTAAGGGTGTTGGACTTTAAAACCGAATACTCAACATCAGCTCTACTGAGCTCCCTCATAAGTCCATGATCGATATGACATCTCAAAGAAACGTCTAAATATAATAACCTTTCAAAGTAATTGTCTTTATGGTCGACCCAAGACAGGAATTTAACACACAACCTCAGCTCTACAGACCACACATCTTCCACTCTGAGCTATATGGCTGAACACACTTCACAGTTGTTTGGGACACATTTGTACTTCTACTGTGGGGAAATGGACTTATAAAGTTACTGCACCTAATAAGAATAACAATCACCTCTTAAACTTTATTGCACGACATTTTATTTCCAAATGCAGGTTTTTAGGGCTTGTTAACATAGCATGACATTAAAGTCAAGGATTATGTGTCCGCGGGGGGCGTTATAAACTTTGAGTCTAACAGAATCAAAAGCTCCACACAGTGAGAAAAGATCCATCCCATCTCCACACATTTCACAGTGTAATATCATTGATTCAGCAAGGGTCACACGGTGGTGAGAGTATTAGATTATAGTACACATTGTTCATGACTGTAATGCATTATACGGCAATCTAAAATGACTACTGTATGTAAACAACCATAAAAACTATAATACACTATGGGAAAAAGCCATTATTAAATGCTTTATAATGTGGAATGATTGAATTCTGATTGTGCAGTGTCATGCCTAAAATAACAAGTTGATAAAACCTAACTTTTAATATAAGACACTTAATAGATGCTTATAATGCACTAACATTAAGTAAGATTGTTTATGGTTGTTATTTGTTATTATGTACACCATCATCCTAAGGACTCATGGAGGCATACATTAAGTTAAATGACATAACGTGATATAAATATAAAGTGATAAAAACCATAGTCTTGAGATTATTCTCAACTTCACTTTATTCAAACCATGGAAAGCAGCGTCAGTGTCAACATTTGTTCAGTTAGTCAGACCTTTCTTTATCTTTCACTTGCTGTCTGTGTATTGTATTATTATTATAAAATAACTTGGGGCTTGTGTGGTTCCTAGGCAAATGTATAACGCTTATATTCTACATTCCCTTTCATCTACAAGTCACTATGGTGAGAGATTAAAATGAGAATGTGTTGGCTTGAGAAAGAGAATACCTTAACAGAATACATTTTTTGAAATATCTCAAGGAATTTCTAGCTTGGTGGTCTTAAAAATGCAGTCTGAAAAATTCAGTTTGAACACTGGCCATCACTGGTCATGATCACTTTATTAGTCCTAATCTAGAGATGAATGCACACTTACAATTTGTAAAAAGTCCAGAAGAATACGTAATGTCAGATGAAGTGTGCATTCAAACTGGTGTATAATACTCAGGCTATAAGTGTAGAAGTGTTGGGGCCACAGACTAGTTTCCCTTGGCTTTTCTCTTCTTTCCTGAAAAGAAAAAAAATGATATTATTATTTCACCAAATGCTGGTTAGTTATTGAACATTGAGCATATTCAATTCAAACAGCTGTCTATCATTGGAAAAGTATTTATTGTGTACAAGTGCTGCTAGGTTTCATCAAAGTTATTAGAAAACACATTTTGAGGACTGTACATGGCTTATAAAACCTACTTTTCCTAAAGACTTTTCATCTACGCTGACTATGATATTTTAAGTAAAATGTCTTGATGGCTTCAGTGACATCTGGCATTCATCACTGTCAGTATGATATGATTTATGCCATCAAATCAACTAAACAAAAGTCATTATTATTAGCCTCAGCAATACTTTACTGTTTCCTGTTAATGAACACATTTTGCAAGATGACACGCCAAATTAAGATGACGACCAGGTCAAACGTTTACCTGTAGAATCACTTTACAAATATGTTACTAATGCAACGACCTTCAATCACCCAAATACAATGTTTTTCATTATGACGGTGAGTGCCAGTCTTACCTTTGGTTTTCGTCTTGGTTTTTCCAGAGCAGGGTTTAGAGACAGAGATAGTCTGTTCACACTGTGAATCATACAGAGCCTTCTTCAATGTCCCCGTTCTGGTCCGCGAGCCAGAGCTTGGATTACACTCTCCCCAGCTGCCGAACCGATACTTACAGTCAGCTAGAAGGGAGAGAAGATTTGTGAACACAGAAATTAAGGCAGTACAAACAGACATTTCACATATTTAGAATATACATTTCATTCGTATTGCTCATTAAACAGATCTCACCGTTGCGCATATATACAACAGCTGATCTCAAAGTACAACCTGACCTGTATAGCACTACATGGGTCTGCACTGATTCATGATTAATTATTATTTAATAACCTCCGGAATTCACAGAAAATATGTTTTATTTTGCTGTTGATCATGCCAATTTGGATTGACCATGTCTTACACTGATTTTCCTTCAAGGTATAATTCTGTTTTGTTGAAAAATGCAAGAAGGCATGATAGCATTGCAGCAATGGTAGCTTTGTTTATGCTCTATTTTTTTACACATCCCTCCATATTTACAAAGTGTAACCTGCACAGAATATCATAAAACGCGTATATAATTGTTAAAGGTGGGGTAGGTAATTTTGGAGAAACCAGCTCGAGTGCGCTAGAATTTGAAAATACACAGCCGGAAAAAATCTGCCACTTCCTCACAGAGCCCCTCCTCCAACACACACGAACGCGCACGAACGCGCACGAACGCGCACATGACCAATGAGGGCACGAGATAAAATGGAAGGCTGACAGGCAGGTAGGCCATCCAGTTACTTTAGCCGGGCCGGCTGGCTCAGGTGATTGGTCGTGCTTTTTACAGCGCCACGGTTTCCACAGATGAAATTTTTTTATGTATTTATTGTCAGCGCATTTAATGTATTCATTGCTATCGGGATGTTAAGAGCATTCCATGGAATATAACAAAAAGTGTTTCTGAAATGAATGACATACCCTACCTTTAAGTTTAGTTTTCCACTAACAAGTCCTTACTTTTATTATCATAAGAAGGAGGCAACACAATTTGACCTTAAATTCTAATGCTGCAAATGGACACAGTCTAAATGTCCCTTAAGATTCATTTAACATCATATTGATCTGATGAGAACAGACAGCTTTAGATAAGTCAACTCTACATGAATAACAACAAAACAAATATTTAAAAAACTTTCTAAAGTATAGTACAGTACAGTAAAGTATAGCGTATGGTATGTTATGGTAATGTATGCTTTGGTATAGTATAATATTGTATAGTATATTATAGTATAGTATATTATAGGATAGTATAGTGGGGTTCAGAATCTCCATTGTGTGACCAGTCTCTGGATAAGGTGATTTGATGATTAGTTTTACTTCTATGGAACTTCTCCCAAAAATTGCGTCCGGTCCCTCCCATGCAGGATTTATTTTGCCTGAGGGCCAGGGACATTTTATTCAGAGAACCAAAAATCACTGCTACGTGTACCTTTATCCTTTACCCAAAGGTCTGACTAAATCTAGTCTTCTGCGTCGTACAGCAGCAAGCATGTGTGACCTGGACCTGTATGTGTCTGGAGAGAAAGCTTCTGAAGGAGCGGGTCAGAAGTTGACTGACCTCAACCAGGCCAATCAATGCTCCACCCCTGCAACACCCACATGTGACCCCTGTCAAAACGCTGCTGTGTAGCAACAGCAAAAAAATATGCATTGTCCGTGCATAGAATGTAGATGCAGGGATTATATAGTTTCATACTCAATGCTGACCATCCTGGATATCTGAGGCAAAATTATAACATATGGTCACACTGGTGTCCACATTGAAATCCTTGTGTCCAACTTACACAAAAAGTGAACTCTGAATTCCTTACTCAAAATGTTTAAAACATAAAACCTACCACCACCTATAGTACTAAGTTTTCATTTTCATTTCCTTGTAGTACTTTTCGTTGTGTCTTGTAAATTGTGTTGAGGCGCTTTCATGTGAAAATGTACTTTAAGTTAATCTTGACTTGAGCACAAGCCACTTTGCTTTAGGCAACCACTGATCCAGTTTGTTCCATCTGAAAAAACCCTGTACAGTACAAATTGTTGTGGGAAAAATAAGACATTAGCAGTGCAGGTCTCCTCCAATTAAAGGAGAAAATCAACCTCCATAGCAATGCAACACCCATGGTCATCCTCTGAGCTATCCGAGACACAAAGTATGTCATAAACATTTGAGGCTGAATCTTGAGAGTTGAATCATCCCAGACACAGTGTCAACACAAACTGTATGATTATAGCCAGACAGAGGTATGTGTTTATGAACGGGTACTGCTGCAATGTGTTGCATCATATGTTACAGGTGCTTGCAGGTACTGTTTCTGGACCAACATGCTGGGGATCATTCAGGTAATGAAGTGGTTTGTCTTAAAGGGGCCATATTCTGCTGATGATCAGGTTCATTTGAGTATCTAGTGTCTCTACTTTAAAGAGTCCTCTCCTGATGATGTTCAGGTGTATATCAGTATGTAGTGTCTCTACTTTAAAGAGTCCTCTCCTGCTGATGTTCAGGTGTATATCAGTATGTAGTGTCTCTACTTTAAAGAGTCCTCTCCTGCTGATGTTCAGGTGTATATCAGTATGTAGTGTCTCTACTTTAAAGAGTCCTCCCTTGCTGATGTTCAGTTGTGTATAGAACACGCTACCTACGTAAAATAGTTAATTTAACTAGCTAATTCTAGTTGCAGATTAATTTTCCCAGAAATAATCACCATTTAAACTTGTGTGTGCCTGTGTGTGTGTGTGTGTGTGTGTGTGTGTGTGTGTGTGTGTGTGTGTGTGTGTGTGTGTGTGTGTGTGTGTGTGTGTGTGTGTTTACCTCCAAACTCTTTTTTCCAGTTGCACGGTACCCTACATTTCATCTTCTTGTTCTGCTGTTCACATGACCCGTCCCTAAACCCTGCTCCACAGTCCCCGTTGCTAGGGACACAGTTGCCATAGCGCCAGTCAGTGCATTCTGACCCGGACTGCGAGGGTTTGTTTTTCTCTGAGGATGGAATAAAATGCATCACCAGTTATTACCTAAATGTGTAGCAGAGGTTGTATATTATTAGACATGTCTTTCTGTTGATTTCTATAAGGTGTTCTCTCTTTAACCGATAGAAAACATGCTATTCGCAGCTTGGAAAACATCCTGGTTAATGAGATGTGTGGCCATGTAGCAGCTGAGTGCATCACAGTGTAAGGGTTCTATGTCTGTCTACAAACATAATGTGCACTGAGACTTATGGAAATGTAAATGGGAACAGGTAAGATTGGGTGTTTGTACTTTTAAGTGCTAAAATCTTCACCATATCACTCTCTACGCTAGTTAGTTAGCTTATATGCTGAAAAAAACATGACAATACAAAACATTTCAGAAGATATTTATGCAAAACAATAAATAAATGTCTATGACATATCGTTGTAACTGTGACTCTTCAGTGTTAAAAACGATTTACTTATGTTAGTTCATTTTTTTATGCCATATGCAAAGGAGAATCAAAAGCAACTCATTTGTTTTTCTTTTACTTCAGCCATTAAACAACTGTTCATTGCATGTTCTCTTGATGAACAACAGCCAGGCTACCTCTTTTACCCTACCCTGATTCCAGCTTTTATGCCAAGCTATTGACTATGCTAGGCTAACCATATTGTGAAAATAATTCTGTACTTAACACACAGTCAAAGACAAGGCAAATACACATAGTATTTTCCAAAATGTTCTTTACTTTATTATTGATATCGCTGTCAGCTGCTATCCACACGGTCCTCATTCACATGTAAATGGTAAAAATATGACTTCATAACAAGTTTGGGATACTAGATTTTAAAAAAGGCAATTTTTAGATTTCAGAATCGTACCTTTTTTGTTTTTTCCCCCAGCAGCGCTGACAGAGACGACAGTGAGAAACAGCAGCAGCAGCAGAAGCGCAGCCCTCATCCTGTAAAAAAACACGCCGAGAGGAAAAATCAACATTAAAAGGTTCACCATTAAGTGTTGAACCCCACCCCGGGGTGAAATCATTATCTGCTCCTCGAACAAAATCACAGCTCATTCCAATCCGACAGGGGACTGCTGAACAACACATACATTATGTTATATATCCTTTCAGACATCCCATGTGCACCATCAGGTTTGCTTTAAACACTTTCACTTCTGCTTGTCTTTAGATATAGCAATAATAACATTCTACATGTTGTGTTACTTAGTGGACCCTACCTGACCCTAAATAAGATGTTTGTCCATTATCCAAGACACAGCTCATGTTGTTGCAATTAAGAAATAACCGTGCTGTGACATGTTCAAGGTATAAAGCTCTGTTTCAATGTATATAGCTCAATACCTTAATAAAAACACCTACACTTCCATGATATTTGCTATCATGTAAGGGATTTCTTTCTGTTTCAGCCTGCTTTTTGTTGACATTGAACTCCTTGTGTTGGCCGGGTAAGGGTTCAATGCACTGTATATTCTCTTACACCATGCTTTCCACCACCATCTTCCCACACCACATGCATATCATTCTGATCAAGACATGAGCCATAAACACAGTGATCATGAAAGCGGATCAAAGCTTAAGATCAGCCAATCACTAACAGTTGCTCCTGCATGTTGTTCCCTGCCGTAGTGTTCATTACTAGAAAGCTTTGTCTCGCTGCACACCAAAGTTCCAGACATGATTCTGAGTTTAGACATGAGATGAAAAGGCCAGCAGAAGATGTGTTTGACATTTTCTCTCTCCATGAAACTCTTTTATCTTCAGGCTTGCCAACAGACATCATTAACTATCTCCAGCTTTGGCTCAGCAGCCTGCAGGATCCGCTCACTCAAGCTACGGTGATCTGTACAGAAAACTATTCAAATGAGTGAGAAATCAATACAGCCTGACTTTCACATTGTGTGAAACTCATCATGGAGGGCTCCAGATAAAGATGAATAACTGTTGCTTTTACTGTTGAGCGTTAACCCTCAAGTTCTAAATGTAGGGGATAATGTGCAATGAGACGGTCACTAAAGAAAAAATAACCCCCGGCAGGGTGATATTAGATATATTATATATCCACTAACAAGTCCTTAAACACTGCAGAGCTCAAACTGTTTGTTTATTCCTGTCTGTCTTCTTCTGTTGTTCCTGTTAGTGTTTAAATAATGTGTAATAAACGGTCATAATCTGTGTTTCACTGTGCTCAACATCCTCCAAAGTCAAATGAAATTCCTGTTCTGTGTTATTATTAGTCCAATAACGGCGTCGACCAATCAGAGGGTCAGGGGTTTAATCCCCACCTGCTGCGGTCAACATGTCCATGTCTCGCTGGCATGTACGGTATAAAATGGTCAGTTTAACAACATATACTATTTATATTCCGTTGAACAGGAAAATCTGTACATGCAGACACCTTCTAAAAGCAAATATACTTCATGTGACGTCAGACTAACACACTTTCTCTGTCTAAGTCACAGTGCAGGGGGAGCTGCCGCTGCGTGATGGAGGCGTGCGACGACGACGATGACAATTAGAGCCGCTCCCCTAAAAGCCCGTCCAGGGAGCGGGCGGAGCAGCAGCATCCCAGGAGGGAACCATTCCAAACTTTCCCAGGATCAATCCAAGCAGCAGCGGGGGGGATGAATACATTCATCTCATTCACAATAAAGACCTTGGTCGACCAGAGCCTCTTCTACGTTTGGTATTCTGTAAAAGATGTCGCTGATTACGATATGAAGATGAAAAATGTGATGAGACAGAATGAGGTGGAGGATTCACTTCTGAGTTTGGCTTTAAATTGCATTATTAAGACATTTTTGATTCACAGACTGGAACAAAGAAGGTCAGGGTGAAGGTCAGAGGTCAGTCATGTTGTTTCCAGTCAGAGTTTAAGGTGAGAGGTTAATGACTGTGCTCAGGATGCATCCCATAATAAGGCCCAACAGAGGGCCAGCTATACATGTTTCCATTAACAACATTAGATACGATGATAGGGTGCAGAGAATACGTTTTTTGCAATAAATATTATGCATTTATTAAATGAGTTTTTCTTTCTTTCTTCTCTCCGAGTCTGTAGCTTCATGATAAAAAACAATTTTTCTTTTTTTACTTTTTTGGAACCAATAGAACACTTTAACAGTTATATTATCTGCACTGGCAGACGATATGGGACCTGAGAGCTGCCAGCAGCGGGATGAACATTTGATACAGCTATTGTGCCATGACAATTATACAAACAGAGTTTAAAGTGCAGCAGAGACAGGGACAGAGGAGGGTGAGGGTCTGTCAGCTGGGCTCCTATAGTGTGTATAAGTACAGCTAGAGTACTGTGACGGCATTATATAAAACACTCTGGTGACAGTGAGAGTCACAGAGCAAATCACTGTAATAGATTCACGGTAAATGCACTCTGTAAGGGGTCTCTTACCATATCATTACACTCTTGGTTCCTGTCTGTGTGTGATATAAAGCAGCTGTATGTTTGTCACGACAATCCAACTCACAAGTCAGAGCCCAGAAAACAAGTGATATTTCTCTTATGAGTCAAATCGACTGTATTCATTTCTGAACCTGTACTTTCCTTCTGATAGAGAGTATAGCATGTGGCTGTGAAATAATCTACGTTACTGTTCTGCCGTTATTCTCCTTGTCTCTATGCCTGGCAGTTTGGCTAAAGCTACTTCCCCTCACAGTGGGAATAACAACCTTTTTTGAGACCAATTTAGCCTTCATTTGGATGGGGGAGATAGAGGGGCGTGTTAAGGGGCTGGGGGCCGGATTTCAAACCTGCGTCAGCAATATCATGGACTGTCAAGTCAAGTATGCTGTGTTTTGGCCCCTTCACATCGAATTAGCATTGAAAAGAAAGCCACAAAAGGTGCATTTAGGAATGATCAACTGCCAACACTGTGAAGCTCGATTCGTTAAATACGCATAAGTATTTGTCTTGGGGGAGGGACTTAAAGAAGTGTCCCTTGTTGCTAGTAGTTAGCTGGCTTGCTGCAGTGCATGTATGGTTCAATCATGATTAATACAAACAATATCTTGCATATTGGGTTCTTAGGTTCACAAATGCACTCCGACATGTTTGAATGTGAAACAACACCACACATCCCCCCCCTGGGACCAGGGAACAGAGGAGCAGACCAGAGACTCAGAGCAGACTCCAGTTCTGTGGGCATTGCTGTCTGGGACAGTGTTAGCATCATTATTGTGTGGTTCTGTAGCTCCTTTTCATTTGGTGGCATGGTGTGGGAGCGTGTGACAGAGCTAGTTTCACAAATCAGTCGCTGACGGTTTGCTGTGGCTGGGTCAGAAGCCTTCGCCTTGTTGTAACAACTAGATGACAAGAGAAAAAAGTTTCTGTGAACACTGTGCTGCTGTCGGTCTGCCAGCTACAGCAGAGTGCTCCATGAGTTATATGAACAACAGGAGGCAAGAGATAGAGTTAGGCAAGTGGTCATTATAAGTTATTATAAGTCAGTTTTTACATATATAGGCTACTGTAAAGAGAAAGAATGAACTAGATGTTCAATATGATTTATTACGTTCTGGTTGATTTTCCAGAGAAAACTCATTATCCAAAATCCAAATACCATTATTCTGATCAAGCAAACTTCAAACTTCATAAATAATGTGATTAAAATAATTCGCTAAATGGTTCGACAAAAGTACTTAAAACAAAGTGCCAGTAATGTCATCAACTATAGAAGAATGTGTCAATAAGGTTAATGCGGTCGGAAAACTGTGAAAACCGAGTGACTTTCCTCTCTGCTCTGATTATCTGTCAGCGCCTGGAGGTCCAGCTTCCATTAGACACAACAGGAAGACAAAAAAGTAGTCCTGAAACCACATGGTGTGTTTTTATGAACATGAAAGTAGACAAAGGCAATATCTCTTCAGGGTCATGATGGTAGGAGAGGTTATTTCCGGTGGAATGAGTGTGTCAGAGAAAGGAAGAACGGCAGTGTGCAGTGCATGGAGTCCTCCCCCATGACTGAGATTACATTGGCATATAACCGAAGGCCATTTAATACCCTTTTACTCTGTCATTTCATTCTGTAAATGAAACATACATTTACAAAGCTATCTCCACTGGAAGCCCTGTTCTCATTGAGGCCGCTCAATGTAAGAATAATGAGTCGCCCCATTCAGTGTTAAACAAGGCAAACCTTCTTATCTGCTCAGCCTTTCTATGGGTATTAACCTCGCATTAACGCGTGTATTGTGGGAAAATAGACTTGCAGTGTGAATAAATGCAGACTAGACTGGGTGAGACGTGGGAGAAAAATGTGTCTGATACGCTTGAGCCACTATTCAGAATCCTTTTGTGTTGAGTTATCTGGCTTAACTAACCCTAACAAACAAACCTCGGTAAGTCAACCAAGTCCGGCTACGATGGGATTCACATGAAAGGGACAGCAGGAAACAAACAAAGTCGCTGAGAGGCTGAGGCCGGGCCTGTTTCATATTGTGTGACACGCTACAAAAAAGTACTTGCTGAGATCAAAAACTCTGTTGCAAAATAATGTGGTTTAATGAAAACTGGGATGATCAACTTATTCTCCTTGGACATGTACATTGTTATTAATCAAAGCAATAATTCAACTTGCGGTCAACAAAAGGTACAACGACCCTGTCACCCTCTCTTCCACACACACCTCACACAGGCGAACAGGATTATAATGAGTGCCGCCCATATCCATGTGACCCAAGCTAACCAATCAATAGTGCTTAAATAAATATCTTATATTAAAACAAAACATAATACTATACATGTTTCACGGCTCCTACAGGCGGGGTTAGCAGCAAATCACAAACATGCCCAAGAGTACTGACAGCGGAGCGTGATTCAAAGTAAACTATAACATCAGATAAACATGAAGAAGATACACTTTATACTTTTATTACCTCAACATATAATCCAGGATCAAAGCAATTTAGTTAAAGCTGCAAAG